ACTGAGTGATATGGCTGGGTGTCGCAAACAATGGTGCTCGTGCATCCACTCGTTATTTTTTTAACACCACTCTATATGTATTCCCCATCTTCCGCTTGAATTTGCTTTGACATTCTTCATTTCGCTCTTTTATCCAAATGGGCAACCAAAGCCGGCGCATGAAAGTGCATGGTTAATGGTTGTAAAACTGAAACTGATGATGAATAGAGTAGCTTATCGGGATGAGGCTTCTTAGAACGCTTGAATTGTTTTACTTTGCGCAATACTTCTGAAGAATCGCCATCCAATGACGAGGGGGAATAGCGAGCATCGGACAGAGAATCGAATGCTGGAAACCAATTAAATTGCCAAATGTAATGATCAACCCAGAGTTCAATATACCTCCGCTTATAAGTAATCACAATACCATTGTTTCTGCATATAAGTCCATGGAGAACAAGCAAGTTCTTCTACAAAATGCGAAGAGTTTGCTAAAGATTCTTGAGGACGATGTTGTGGCCAGTACAGAGGAACGTCCTTTCCAAGATTTTGGGTCAGGTTGGGGAATCCTTATGAGTACTGAGTTGGATTGTTAGCATGAGCTTTCGGCTACCACCGGCTAACACTGCCACTAGCGTCAAGTTAGATTTACCCACTGAGAGTGTATCATAGAGTGACTACAAGGCAAGATCACTAAATTGGTTTCACGATGGGTGCGACGATCAGTGGTAGATGACCCCGTCCACTGAACCGACATTTAGCCACATTGGCCACTTTCCCCTTCCTGAAAATTGTACCTTTGCGTATTCAATAAAAGGAAGCAAAATGAAAAGATCTACCAAATTTGCCGTTCAATTGTCCCATAATCTCACCTCCACTAGTTAGCCAAATTACGATTCCTCTGAGATCAATCGGTCTTCCGGCTTCTAATCGCTAATTGCGTGCAAAACACTAGATTTATTCCTCATTTCACGTTAGACTTGCTCATCCCAGTTTATTTTATGACGCTCAGATTCCCTCTCTGTGAAGACTTTCACAGTTACTCGTGAGATGTTTTGATTTCTATCCTCGGTCGAATCCTGCTAAGCCGACTTTATCGACGAACCCTGTTTATTGTCTGACTAACTATTACTCGACCATTGTCATTTAATCACTTTACCGTTAGAAATTTCATTTATATTTGAGTGCAGCTGTGTTGCTTTCATTGGTAACGTCTTCCTTTCAGGGGAGCTCGTGCACATAAGTACAACTGTCAATTATCTGAGTAGTCAAACAAATAAACAATGTACTCCAAGTTGTTTTGATTGTTACTTAAAATTTCCAGAATACGTCACCTCGAGAAACTAGGAAAACTTAGTCACAGATCT